CTGGAAATATTGTATTAATTGGCAGTCAGTTTATAGTTTTATTTGACTGTGTCCTCAATATCATTTATACAACATGGGAATTATATTAGCCTATAGTTTTTTCATTTTTTACCATGTCAATAATTAAACATAGAAATGGATTTATTAAGAAATACTGCAGGTATTTCTTCATTTATCATTTATGAAATCATATTAGGCTAGTTAGTTTTCCTTTATCAAAACAGTACTATTATTTGAACTTAGAAATTGATTTAAAGTCAATTCATGACTTTTATTTGAATTGCTATTGCCAGTCATAAATGAAAAACTTGAAACTAACTTGAAAAACGGACAGTTTATTAAGAAATATTGCAGGTATTTTTTCGAACAGAACATATTTTTGTGAGAGTATTGTTTTAATTGGTAATCGATTCATATTTTAATGTTACCGTGTCCTCGATATCACTTTTCATCCTGTTATTTTTTTGTAATATTCCTTTAACAAAATCCAATTACATAATCTTTCAGAAAGTGACGTAATTTAATTAGGAAAATAACAGCACCACCATCAGTGAAGTATTAGCAGTTGATTTGATGAATTTTGTGATATTATTTGATTTGTCACTAAAGTCCAGTAATAAATGATGTGTGTGTGTGTGTGTGTGTGTTTCAGTAAATAGAAAAAATGCTCAGAGAAGATTATCACATTTAATAATACTTGGCAAACACTTGGTGAGGCATTGTGGGAGGAAAATAACACCCATAATTTAATCAAACCAGATACAGATTTACAGAAATTGTACTTGTATGACTTAAAGCACTAGATAATAATACTTACATAATTTTTAATATATCATTTTTATCATATGTTATTAGCTACACTAGAAGTGTCAATATCTGTGCTCAAAATACACATCTAAAGTGCACTTAAGTCATTAGCCATGCAGCAAATAAAGTGTCGAGAACATTTAAAAGCACTTGAAAATTACCATCGGCCTTCTGAAACAAGACTTACAGGCGTCTTACAGGCCTCAAGGGCCCGTCTATCCCTGAGTGAGAGGTTTGATTGGACCTAATCTCTCTTAGTGCAGTTCTAGGGTCATTTTTGTAGTACAAAGTAAACGCTTAGTATGATGGACTTCAGATCCTGAACAAAATGAGAGAAACCGAAAACTATTCAAGCTGTCATATTTCACCCTATACAAGCAAAAGCAGGTGACATTTCTATTCTCTAGGAGACGACTGGGGCATTTTCCAGGCTTTGTTTTTCTTTCTGAACTCTTATTTAATAGTGAAAGTGCCCTCGACTATATTTTTAAACAAATGATAAATCTGGGTTAAGTATAATTCCGCATTAGATCTCATGCCCTTATAAGCCTGATGTCTCAGTGCTGGAGCACATTCAAAACAGGGAGTAGCAGTACCATAAAAAGCCATCCGCGTGTACGCACACACACTTTCACACAATCTCTAAGCATAGACTGAGATTAAGGCATGTGTAATCTCACTGGAATGCACTGTTTCAGAGCCCCAGCTGTACCCGAGCACAAAACACACAGGTTATAATCCTCATCTGCTGCATGCGTGTATGAAACAGAGAAGAGCATGAGTACATAATAGACTGATCTTTGGTAGAAGCTTCAGGTCACATGTGCGCTATGTTGTGTGCCTTTTGTAGTTCTTTGGTCATTTACAGTGAAATGCTCAAAATGTTGAAAGTTTCTATGGCATCTTCTTTTTAGTCTTGACGAGGCCTTTCTCTACTAGGCAGCGGTAAAACTCCTGGATATACGTGTACACACACTTCCAGTCTGGCTCTCGCATCTGCATCAAGTCATCAACGTCCAGCAGGCGAGGACAGTCAGCTAGTGTCCTATACGCATAAAGAAAATTAAGCCTATTTTTAGGACCATTATGTTTTTTTTGCATTGTGACATTATTTTCATGACTCGAGCACATTTTTGTTGCAAAATACCTAAAGCACATTTCATCTGCTTACCACACATTTCTCATTACAATAGTGTTAGAAAATAGTGATGTCTTCATTCAATTATTTATGCGGATTTAATTATAAAATGTGCCTTGATAAAAAAAAAAGATTAATAATTTAAATTAAGAATTAAATTTGAAATTAAAATTAACAATTAAAAAAGATTAAACACACTTATAAATAAAATTAATTAAATTAAATATTAATATATTGAACAATTAAATATATTACTATTATAATATGAAATTATAATAAAATATATAATTATTGTAATATATCTTTTGTATTATAATATTATTTTATATGATAATTTTATATATTTTTTTATTATTTCTTTCTTTTTGGGGGGGGAAGTATGTCCCTAACATTTCTTTATGACACAAAGGTGGATGCAGTAAATAGTGTGAAGTCTTACTCTGCAGTCTTGAATGCTTTCTCAAAGTTGGCCCTGCGATCATAGGGGTCGAGAGTGCAATATTCAAAGCTCTCTGGGAAGAACCTGTGCACCAGGGCACAAAACGCCAGACCGTCTGCCCAGCTAGAGGAGAAATTATGGATGTTCACACCCTAAACATAGAAACAAGTATAAGAGGGAAAATCACAATAAAGCTGTGAAGAATTAAAAAAATAAAATAAAAAGCCAATTTTTAGGACCATTAGGTTTTTTGCATTGTTTAAATGATAAAAAGACACCCACCACCACACATCTAATTTACATTATTATAATGTATTTGATACATTTATGCTGATTTACATAAAAATAAAAAAATTCAAACAATAGAGTTTTTGGTTGTAAAGGGAATCAAAATTGGGCATTTACAAAAAAATGTATGTTAAAAAATCAGGATGCATTACAGTTATGGGAAATGTGCTTATTTGTCATAATTTTTGGATTTTGTTGTGAAATGTGACCTGGACATTTCCATTCACACAGGGAGACTAGCAGACATTTAGCAAATCAGAAACTGTTTGATTTGATCTTATTTTGTCTCTTCAGGCCCACCTCATATGGTTCAGTCTTGACCCGGCACCAGTCCAGCAGCATCTGTTTGACATCTTTGGTATTTGGGCCCCCGACTGCTGAGCTGCCCGGCACTTTAACCCTGGCCACATGGGACTGAGCCGGGCTTTAGGAGGAAAACAGCACAATCAGTCAACGGGATACATCCCACGCTGTCATCCTGTCAGGAATCTAGGAATGACTCACCTGCCCACAGTTTTTGGAGAGGAAGTAGAGGTTGGTGGAGAAAACGATTTTGCCTGAGCCGTCCCTGTACCGAAGTGAAATAAGAAGGGAAAGGTTATCAAAGCCTTGCAGATAGAAGTGCAGTAAAAGTACATTGTGTTCAAAGCCTCATGAGTGATGGTCACTCACTGTGTGCATTGTACTGAGCGCCGCTCGGGCCATTAGCGGGTTTCTGGTCCTTATTCAGTCCAGCAGCTGTCTTTCCTCCACCACCCTGCTGACGCAGGTTCTCCATTCGGGCCGCCCGCTCTCTATCACGCCGCTCTGACAGAAACAGAGGAAAACAAAAACAAACTAAATAATAGTTTTCTGAATAGGAAAGTTAACAAATAACAGCAGACGTTTGTTTTACTAAGTTTCCTTCCTTTGGTTGTTTGTGTAATAGTAAGGAGTCTTAAAGGCAGAATCTCATGAAACCTGTCAAGAGCATGTCTGGCTTATTTTCACACACTACTGTTCAAATGTTATAGGGGTCAGTATTTTTTTTTTAAATGAATACTTTTATTCAGTAATGACTCATTAAATTGATCAAAAGTGAAAAAATGCCTTGTTTCTACAAAAATAGGATTTTTTATAAAATTACATTTATAAAAAAAAATATATATA